CCGGCGTTGACTTGACCGGCGCGCGCGGCTGCCTGGGAGCCACACGCTCGTCAGCAGCAGGCACGCGCGACTGTTTCACAGTCGCGCGTGCTTCTTCGGAGGGGGCTCGGGAGTTGCTCCCGAGCAGAATTTCGACTCCCGAAGTGCCCTCGCCGAAATTGTCTTCGGCAGGGCGTTTTCCGCGGCGGTCAAGTGCCCCGGGCGCGTTCGCGTGCTCCGAAGCGTTACCCGGGGTAGTTGTCTTTTCCGCCTCACGATTAAGTGTAGTGTTGGCGGGCGCCATATTCGCCAGGTTGTGTTGGAGAATGTCGGTAAGCAGTGTCGACGGGGACTTGAACCTCGGGAGAGACTGCGTCTTCGCCAGGATGAACGAGAACTAGGAAAGTAAAACTAGAAAATTGGAAATGAAGAACGTGGGTGGAGCTACTGAACTCACGTTCCTCTTTTGTAGGCAAAAGAGGGGTGAGTAGCGTTGCACCGCTACCTTTGCGTTGCTGGCCACGTCCTCGCTTTCACAATACGAAATTTTAAAAAGTGTTACACTTTTAAAATTTATAATTTTTTACTCGACACTCAGAACCTCCGACTGCCCATCACCCCAAAACTCCGCCCCCGATATTGTGGGCCATTTCGCATAAGCCACATGATTACGCCCGTCACCGCCCACCTCCTCCTCCCCGCTGACTGGTACGTCAGCCCCTCATTCCACATCAGCCTGCTTCGCCCTTACGTCCCGTCCACAAGCCAACTGCCACGAAATCGCCCAGCCAGCATGGCACGACCGCCGACTGAACCAATCATCACACCCGAGAAAATTCTGAGCCACAGAGTTCGTGACCCTCGAGGAGCCCGAAGGATCGAGTTCCTGATCCGCTGGAAAGACCGTAAACCCACCGAAGACAACTGGGTTCCCCTGGACAGAGTCGAAAATCACCCCGTCCTTACAGAGTATCTGCGCAGCCGAAACTTCAGGGATGTACACGCACTTTCGTAAGGAGGACCTCCTTAGGGGGGGGGGGGGGGTAGTGTAAGGAAAATTCATTTTCCTTACTTCGCGTCCACGCTCAGCACGTACACCATTGTAGCACCACAGTCAGCACCGTTACCACTCGCAAACCCTCGCATCGACAATCCTCCCGCCACTTTCGCACGTCGCACCCCGACCTCACGGCTCGGCGGGTAACCCGCGCTCCGGGCCTCCGCTTCGACATTTTCCCAAACCTCAGTCCCAGGCCCGTCGCGCGACAACCACAGTCCATTACCGTTACCACTATAGTTTCACTATATATTCTTCGCTCATGACTTTGCTCATTGTACTCTTGCTTAGATACTGCAATTCTCGCTCGCTCACTCAATTGCACTCGTAACACTTTCCCTTCTTTTCCTCTTTCTATCTAGGACTCAGAAATTCAGCTGTATGTCTTAAATGAAAGAAAAACGGAAAATGCAGCCTCAAGAACACCCCAGTAGAACAGCACATAAGGAACCCCAAAAGACACCCCAACGAGATACCCCCAACGAGACACCCCAACGAGACACCCCAACGAGACACCCCAACAATACGCCCCATCTAACCAAACCCCCCACCCCCCTCACCTAAACCCACCCTCTAAACCCGCATGTCCACCAAATAGGGCGCATCCGCCCACGGAGCATCCCATCCCATCTCCTCCTCAAAATCCTCCCGCTCCACCGAAACAGCCTCTGGGCCTCTCATCATCGACGCCGCGCGCAACAAGATCACACGCGCCTGAGCCCGCTGCAAAGCCACACCTATGGCCGCTTTAAGTGATCCAAGCAAGTAAGCCGAGAAACCTTTCTCCGTAGCTCTCGCCGCCCCTTTCGTCTTCGCTACCTCAATCTGCGCGTCGCCCTGTTTCTTAAGCCACCGCCCAAAACTCCCCCCCAGGCAACCCCATGTCTCAGCAATGAGAGGTGTAAACTGCACTCCCCTATGTCGCTGTAGAAGCAATTTGTAGTCCGCCGCCTTCCGCTTTTCCCTCTCTCTAGCGGCAAAACCCACCTTGCGACCAATCTGTCCATGGTGCTGCGCGGACAACGAGATAGGGTCCACCACACTAACCTCCAGCGCATGCTCCTCCCCCTCCCTCAGTCTCCGCACCGCCACATCCACCCTCTTCCCTGGCAGCAACGTGTCGTCTTCCATGGTCACGACCCCACCCGCCCCTTTAGCTATCTTCGCCACCACAAACTTAACCGCGTCGTGAACACGAGAAGGTGCGTACTGGTACTTGCAGCGAAGGGCATGATGCGGGTCAGAGGGATCAGCAAACTCAAACCCACACGCGCACTTGCCGGCGACTATCAGCTGCTGTATGGGGAGGCCTAGGCGCATGGACGCACAGATGCTCCACTCGGCTGCGGTGAAGGTAGCCTCTTCGTGCGAAGGGACGGCGGAGACCCACGCCCCTGCCCCCGGGCCCTGAAGGGATGTCAAACGGGCCATGGTGGCGTCGTCGTGGGCCATACCCCGAAGAGTCTGCAGACTCTCAACCGCTAGGCGATGGTGTTGTGTGGGGAAAAGCAGCACAGGGGGGTCAGCGGTGCATAAGGCTAGGGGTGGCATCTCCTGCCTGACCGACTGTGGCAGCACCTCCACTGCTCTCGCAAACCAAGGATCCAGCAAGGTCGTAGCCTCGGGCGTGCGGAAAAACTCCTCAAACATCCGTTCCTCCCCTGCCACCCCCATCCGAGCCACATCGCTCACTGCCTGGCACCAACCACATGCGTACGACAGAGGGCTAAGGTCAGCTGCAGATCGAATGCCAAACCCTCCAAGTCTGGCTGGAAGGTGCAGCTGTAGACGGGCCATCTGCGACCTTGCCGAATCATGATCCCAGGTGCTATCTGGAAACAGCTGCTCAAAACAATCCTCAAGCTTCGTGTCCCAGTCGCGGAAAGCCTCCACAACCTCAGGCCGTGGAGGCATCGTCCTTGTGAGGTAAATCGGGCGCGCTGACACTGCGATCGCCAGCAGATGGGACGCAATCTGTGGGTGGTCGAGCAAAGGAAGCCAAGGGACAGGTGCATGCAGCTGCATCAGCCGGCCTCGCAAGCTGGCCACCTCCCACTCCTCCTCCCCAATAGGAACCCCCACTACGGTGAGCCCCGTCCATGTTTGCTGCATGCCGGGCGGGACGGTCTCGTTCCTCTCCTCTCCCTCCTGGTCCACCCCTCGCTCCCAAAGCTTGCACTTATGCGGCTGCACCTCCAGACCAAGCCCGCCCAGTCGTTCCCGCAAGACCTCATAAGCTGCTAGCACCCGCTCCCTAGGCCCCAAGATGTACGTATCATCGGCGTAGCTGAGAAAGAGTAGGTCGGCGAATTCTTGTTTGGTGGGCTCCATAACCAGCTGCTGTGTGAACGCGAACAGAAACGGCCCCAATGGGTCCCCTTGCCTCGATCCTCGCTCTGAAGCCAAAGCTTCGACGAAGGGGCCCGCACGGAGGTAGAGGTCGCTAGGAGTGCCGTAGAAGACACGCAGGAATGGGATCAAACCCGCAAAAGGCGACTGTCGAAGTCCTTCAAACATTTCCCGCCGATGGAAGGAGTTGAAAGCATTCGCCACATCAATTTGAAGCGCGCACCATGACGGGTGAGTAGAGATGGCAGAACGAAAGGCATGTGCGAGGACTTCCACTCCCGACCTGGATCCGACTCCTAGCTGGTTACACGGCGCAAAGTGCGACATCATCTTCGGCCGAAGCACGATGCATAGGGCCCGAGATAGTATGCGGGGGAGCACCTCGCCTATAGCCACCGGGCGAACGTCACCATTCGGCTTCGACAGGCCCACAAGGTTGGACGCAGTGAGCCAGGGTCGCACGCGCTCCGCTACCTCTCCCTTGGTCCACTGGGTGAAGACTCCTAGCAGGTGAGGCAGGTATGCGGGCTCAGAGAGAAAAGTGTCGCGCAGGTGCTCCGTCACCCACCCCGACGGTCCTGGTGCCGACGCCCTAGCCGCAGAGTGGATCGCCTGACCAAGTACCTCCACTGGGTGTTCGTGCATTTTTCTGCGCGTCAAATTTTGACGCGCCTCTCACTCACACTCCCTCCCTCTCACACTCACTCTCTCCCTCTCACACTCACTCTCCCTCTCACACTCACTCTCCCTCTCACACTCACTCTCTCCCCCATCACACTCACTCTCTCCCTCTCACACTCACTCTCATAATCTCTCACTCTCACACTTCCACACTCCTAGACTTCTACATTCTCACGCTTGCACATACACATGAGCAAACATTCCAACTCCTGTTCGGTTCGACTCCAACGTGTTCGAATGGAATTTTTGCCCAATATTGGGTTCATCACGAACACGTTCGACTGTTCGAGTGTTTGTGTGCAGAAAAATGCACGAACACCTAGGTGTTCGCGAACACAATGTGTTCGTCGCAAACACCTAGGTGTTCGTGCATTTTTCTGCGCGTCAAATTTTGACGCGCTGGTTGGATCTAAAAGGTGGGGGTGACGATTGAGCTTAAGAGAATGAGCTCAAGCCTAAGGATGGCATTCTGCCCCCTACCCACTTAAAGTAACACATTCCCACGGTTAAAATTCCACTTTGTGGCAGGAAACGTTAGGTATAAGGTTTGACTGGGGTAGGAGACGGTTAAAAAAAGGAACTAAGGGCATTACGGTTTAGGTTGGAGTTTAGCAAGGCGAAATTGAATGTCCACCAGATCTGCACCAAGCCTAACTATATCTCTTGTAGGGCTATAGGAAACGTGAAAATGCTTCTTGTACACTCGCCCTGCCTGAATGTGACTATACTGAAAGAACCCCCCAAGGCAAACTGTTCGAGTTCGGGTCAAACACCTTAGTGTGCGGCCTTGCCTCAAAACTGTTCGACCCTATACTCGAACGGGGAACACTAGCATTTAAGAAAACTGTTCGAGACAAACGTGTTCGGTTCGGTTCGAATCGACCAAGTGTTCGCAAACTGTTCGAGACAAACGTATTCGGTTCGCTCGTTGCTCATGTCTACTTGCACGGTCTCATTCGCGCCTTCCGTTGGCCACCCACTCTCCCCGCGCGCTGCCCTCCCAGCGGTGGCGCATCGCAGCATGCGCCTGCCATGCCAGCCAGGCCACAGCCGCTCAACACGGCGTGCTGCCCTCTGCCACACGACGTGCTGCCCGCTGCCTTGCTCTTCCTCTCCCACTTTGCGCATCCTCCCATGCCCCCTCTTCCCCCTTTTCCCTCCCGATACCCATGCCGTGCCCCCCCCGCCCCCCTCGACACGACAGCATATCGGAGCAGACGACGAACCAGGCGGTGGAGGTGAAGGCGCTGGTGGCGGCGCTGGAGAACCACACCTACTCCGTGGCGGCGGCCGTCACGGACCACGTCGCCGTGCAGACTGTGCACGTGCAGACTGTGCAGCTGCGCCAGCTGGCGGCGGAGCTGCGCAACCACTCGCACTTCGTGAGGGAGCACGTGGGGCAGCACGTGGACGTGCAGCAGGCGCAGCTGGCGGAGGTGGTGGCGGAGCTGAGGGCGCGCATGGGCGAGGTGGCGTCCGCCGTCATGGCGCCCCCCGCCCCCCCTCTGCCTGACAGCGCCATCACCACCTCCAACCTCACTCTGCTCGTTGCCGCCGGCCTGCGGTCCCAGGTGGGTGGGTGCCATCCCAGGTGGGTGGGTGCCATCCCAGGTGGGTGGGTGCCATCCCAGGTGGGTGGGTGCCATCCCAGGTGGGTGGGTGCCATCCCAGGTGGGTGGGTGCCATCCCAGGTGGGTGGGTGCCATCCCAGGTGGGTGGGTGCCATCCCAGGTGGGTGGGTGCCATCCCAGGTGGGTGGGTGCCATCCCAGGTGGGTGGGTGCCATCCCAGGTGGGTGGGTGCCATCCCAGGTGGGTGGGTGCCATCCCAGGTGGGTGGGTGCCATCCCAGGTGTGTGGGTGCCATCCCAGGTGGGTGGGTGCCATCCCAGGTGTGTGAGTGCCATCCCAGGTGGGTGGGTGCCATCCCAGGTGGGTGGGTGCCATCCCAGGTGGGTGGGTGCCATCCCAGGTGGGTGGGTGCCATCCCAGGTGGGTGGGTGCCATCCCAGGTGGGTGGGTGCCATCCCAGGTGGGTGGGTGCCATCCCAGGTGGGTGGGTGCCATCCCAGGTGGGTGGGTGCCATCCCAGGTGGGTGGGTGCCATCCCAGGTGGGTGGGTGCCATCCCAGGTGGGTGGGTGCCATCCCAGGTGGGTGGGTGCCATCCCAGGTGTGTGGGTGCCATCCCAGGTGGGTGGGTGCCATCCCAGGTGGGTGGGTGCCATCCCAGGTGTGTGAGTGCCATCCCAGGTGGGTGGGTGCCATCCCAGGTGGGTGGGTGCCATCCCAGGTGGGTGGGTGCCATCCCAGGTGTGTGAGTGCCATCCCAGGTGGGTGGGTGCCATCCCAGGTGTGTGGGTGCCATCCCAGGTGGGTGGGTGCCATCCCAGGTGGGTGGGTGCCATCCCAGGTGGGTGGGTGCCATCCCAGGTGGGTGGGTGCCATCCCAGGTGGGTGGGTGCCATCCCAGGTGGGTGGGTGCCATCCCAGGTGTGTGAGTGCCATCCCAGGTGGGTGGGTGCCATCCCAGGTGGGTGGGTGCCATCCCAGGTGGGTGGGTGCCATCCCAGGTGTGTGAGTGCCATCCCAGGTGGGTGGGTGCCATCCCAGGTGGGTGGGTGCCATCCCAGGTGGGTGGGTGCCATCCCAGGTGTGTGAGTGCCATCCCAGGTGGGTGGGTGCCATCCCAGGTGGGTGGGTGCCATCCCAGGTGGGTGGGTGCCATCCCAGGTGGGTGGGTGCCATCCCAGGTGGGATGGTCTGTGTGTCCGGTTTGGTACTTTGGTGATGTGCAATCTCACCTAGACATGCGTGATCATGAGGTGAGGTGAGTCAAGTCAGGGTCTCGTCGTGACTGAACCGATTGAGTCAAGCCAGCTTGACTCGTCGTGACTGAATCGATTGAGTCAAGCCAGCTTGACTCGTCGTGACTGAATCGATTGAGTCAAGCCAGCTTGACTCGTCGTGACTGAATCGATTGAGTCAAGTCTGAATCGAGACGTGCGGTTATTACTCGACTCTGTGAATCTTTAATGTGTGAGAGAATCTTTGAAAATTTGTGTCATGGATCCGTGTGTGTTCATGAGCTCACACGTTATAAACGAGTTGTACCGGCAATAATTCGACGCAATTACAATGTGAGGAATTGTTGATAGGTAGGAGGTGAGACCATTACCTCCGTTGGGAAAATGGACTGTTCGCCTTGACTGGAGTGTGAAGTGTGTACATCCGTGGCATATCCTTGCTTCACTCAGTACCATGTAGCAGCACCCACTACCATGTAGCAGCACCCACTACCATGTAGCAGCACCCACTACCATGTAGCAGCACCCACTACCATGTAGCAGCACCCACTACCATGTAGCAGCACCCACTACCATGTAGCAGCACCCACTACCATGTAGCAGCACCCACTACCATGTAGCAGCACCCACTACCATGTAGCAGCACCCACTACCGTGTAGCAGCACCCACTACCCTGTAGCAGCACCCACTACCCTGTAGCAGCACCCACTACCGTGTAGCAGCACCCACTACCGTGTAGCAGCACCCACTACCGTGTAGCAGCACCCACTACCGTGTAGCAGCACCCACTACCGTGTAGCAGCACCCACTACCGTGTAGCAGCACCCACTACCATGTAGCAGCACCCACTACCATGTAGCAGCACCCACTACCATGTAGCAGCACCCACTACCATGTAGCAGCACCCACTACCGTGTAGCAGCACCCACTACCGTGTAGCAGCACCCACTACCGTGTAGCAGCACCCACTACCGTGTAGCAGCACCCACTACCGTGTAGCAGCACCCACTACCGTGTAGCAGCACCCACTACAGTGTAGCAGCACCCACTACCATGTAGCAGCACCCACTACCATGTAGCAGCACCCACTACCGTGTAGCAGCACCCACTACCATGTAGCAGCACCCACTACCATGTAGCAGCACCCACTACCGTGTAGCAGCACCCACTACCATGTAGCAGCACCCACTACCATGTAGCAGCACCCACTACACACATTATTGCCGAGAAAAGCATCTCCAGAAATCCTTGCTTTGGAGGCTGGGATGATTCACATGTGCACGAGGCTGGGAAATCTTGCAGGTATGGAGTGGTGGAAGGGTGTTGTAGGGTCTTGGGTGGGGCAGGAACAAGATTGCAAACAAGAGCACACAGGTGTTACTTACCACCCTGTGTGTTACTTACCACCCCGTGTGTTACTTAACACCCCGTGTGTTACTTACCACCCCGTGTGTTACTTACCACCCCGTGTGTTACTTACCACCCCGTGTGTTACTTACCACCCCATGTGTTACTTACCACCCCGTGTGTTACTTACCACCCCGTGTGTTACTTACCACCCCATGTGTTACTTACCACCCCATGTGTTACTTACCACCCCGTGTGTTACTTACCACCCCATGTGTTACTTACCACCCCATGTGTTACTTACCACCCCGTGTGTTACTTACCACCCTGTGCGTGTGTGTGATGCACGTGGTGTGGTGTGGTGTGGTGTGGTGTGGTGTGGTGTGGTGTGGTGTGGTGTGGTGTGGTGTGGTGTGGTGCTGCGCGGCCATGCCACGCGCCCCTGGGAGAGCAGAGGCGCACGGAGCAGGCGGTGGGCAAGCTCGTCACGCAAGTGGGCCGCCTCGCCGCCACACATGTGAGTGCTGGGCGCCAGAGATGTGAGTGCTGGAGATGAGTGCCACGCATGTGACAGGAGATGAGTGCCACGCATGTGACAGGAGATGAGTGCCACGCATGTGACAGGAGATGAGTGCCACGCATGTGACAGGAGATGAGTGCCACGCATGTGACAGGAGATGAGTGCCACGCATGTGACAGGAGATGAGTGCCACGCATGTGACAGGAGATGAGTGCCACGCATGTGACAGGAGATGAGTGCCACGCATGTGACAGGAGATGAGTGCCACGCATGTGACAGGAGATGAGTGCCGCTCTCTCCATGTCTGCATCATGCCGTGCATGCGCCATGTTGTCCCGTGCTCCTTAGCCCCTGCATGCGCCATGTTGTCCCGTGCTCCTTAGCCCCTGTCCACCTCCACACACCCATGCCCCCAATCTGCTCTCACAGCGCCATAGGCCCCCCCACCCCGTACCCCCATTGCTCCAATACCACCACAACCCCATATCCCTGTTACCGCATAGACCCCACTCCATGGCCTTGCTCTGCCCCCCACACCCTCTCACCCAGTGCCACATATCCCCCACATAACATTCGCCTTACCCCCAACTCAACCCACCCCATGCCATTCGTACCATGCCCCTGCTTGCCGTGCCATAACATGCCGTGCCATTGCGTGCGCGGCTCTGCGGCGCGCTGGCAGGACGAGGAGGGGGGGTTGGGCACGGAGACGCTGAGGGAGGTGGTGTCGGCCGTCAAGAAGCACATGCACCTCTCGCGCTCGCTGCAGGTGAGTCAAGAAGCACATGCACCTCTCGCGCTCGCTGCAGGTGAGTCAAGAAGCACATGCACCTCTCGCGCTCGCTGCAGGTGAGTCAAGAAGCACATGCACCTCTCGCGCTCGCTGCAGGTGAGTCAAGAAGCACATGCACCTCTCGCGCTCGCTGCAGGTGAGTCAAGAAGCACATGCACCTCTCGCGCTCGCTGCAGGTGCGCCGTTGCGAATGCCCCTCCTTGCCGCCTTCCCTGCGTAGCTACAAGTTTGAGCACACATCCGTGATCTGCCGTTGCCTCTCTGTTGCGCCTTCCCGGCAGGGCATGGTTGACATCCGGCAGGGCATGGTTGACATCAGGCAGGGCATGGTTGACATCAGGCAGGGCATGGTTGACATCATGCAGGGCATGGTTGACATCATGCAGGGCATGGTTGACATCAGGCAGGGCATGGTTGACATCCGGCAGGGCATGGTTGACATCCGGCAGGGCATGGTTGACATCAGGCAGGGCATGGTTGACATCAGGCAGGGCATGGTTGACATCAGGCAGGGCATGGTTGACATCCGGCAGGGCATGGTTGACATCCGGCAGGGCATGGTTGACATCAGGCAGAGCATGGTTGACATCAGGCAGGGCATGGTTGACATCAGGCAGGGCATGGTTGACATCAGGCAGGGCATGGTTGACATCAGGCAGGGCATGGTTGACATCCGGCAGGGCATGGTTGACATCAGGCAGGGCATGGTTGACATCAGGCAGGGCATGGTTGACATCCGGCAGGGCATGGTTGACATCAGGCAGAGCATGGTTGACATCAGGCAGGGCATTGTTGACATCCGGCAGGGCATGGTTGACATCATGCAGGGCATGGTTGACATCAGGCAGGGCATGGTTGACATCAGGCAGGGCATGGTTGACATCCGGCAGGGCATGGTTGACATCAGGCAGGGCATGGTTGACATCAGGCAGGGCATGGTTGACATCCGGCAGGGCATGGTTGACATCAGGCAGGGCATGGTTGACATCAGGCAGGGCATGGTTGACATCCGGCAGGGCATGGTTGACATCCGGCAGGGCATGGTTGACATCCGGCAGGGCATGGTTGACATCAGGCAGGGCATGGTTGACATCAGGCAGGGCATGGTTGACATCTGGCAGGGCATGGTTGACATCCGGCAGGGCATGGTTGACATCAGGCAGAGCATGGTTGACATCAGGCAGGGCATGGTTGACATCAGGCAGGGCATGGTTGACATCCGGCAGGGCATGGTTGACATCAGGCAGGGCATGGTTGACATCAGGCAGGGCATGGTTGACATCAGGCAGGGCATGGTTGACATCAGGCCCTCCTGCCTGCTGCTGTCGCACCATGTGGCGGCTCATGTGGCAGGTGGCAGGCATAGCAAGGGCATGTGTTGACTACCTCACTCACGCCGCTCACCCAACCCCTGCTCTCTGTGCGCACATGCCTCGTCATTTTCCTCTCCACCCTCCACCTAGGGATGAGCAAGTGGCGAACACGAACGTGTTCGTGTTCGCCCCTACACGAACACCTTCGTTTGCCGAACCGAACACTGTTCGGTTCGGCGAACACTTTGAGCAAAAAATGGTGTTCGCCGTTCGCCTGTGAAGGCGTGTTCGGGCGAACCTCGAACACTGTTCGTGTTCGTCGCGGGCAAATTGCAGCAGCGGCCCGAACACGAACGTGTTCGGGCGAACATCGAACACTGTTCGGCGAACATTTTAAGCCAAAAAAAAATACCTGTTCGGTTCGCCTCGAACACGTTCGAGGCGAACCGAACAGGTGTTCGTTTTTTTGCTCAACCCTACCTCCACCCTCCTCTCGCACCTCTCTTTGCTCTCGCACCTGTTTCTGTTCTCACCTGCTCCGCCCACTCGCTGCTCTGTCCCCCTATGTCCATCGGTGTCCCCCATGTGTCCTCGTGTGGGCGGTGCGTGGGGCAGGAGGAGAAGATACTGGCCGTGCTCAAGGCGCTGGTGGCGCATCTGCGCGCCAAGGAGAAGGCGGGGCTCACGGACGCCGTGCTGCAGGGGCAGGTGCGCTTCACGGGGGGGAGGGACGTGGTGGGGGTGGGGGAAGAGGAGGTGGGGGCAGGTGTGGGAGGGCAGGTGGGCCAGGGCAGGTGGGGGAGTGCGGCAAGGCAGAGAGAGGAGCAGGTGGCGAGATACGGATTATATTTGGAGTTGTTCACATGACGTTTGGGGGGATAGGTTGCGAGCGATAGGGGAGTGGATAGGGGAGTGGATAGGGGAGTGGATAGGGGAGTGGATAGGGGAGTGGAATCTGTTGTGGTTGATAGCGGTGGGATGGCTGCAAAGAACCGGAGGTGCAATTTCTGAAGTTGGTGACACTCGTCTGCCGACTCATTGCGTGAACCTTCCGCACACGTGCGTTCCCACTGAGACGCCCCTTGTGCCCACACTCAATTGCATCAACAACCCACTCACTTTCTTGCACTTGCCACTCACCGTGCGGCCTTGTGCGGGGCGAGAGGGGAGCAGAGGCGCATGGAGGGGGTGGTGGGGGCGCTGGTGGGCGAGGTGCGCAACAAGACGGCGTTCCTCAGCCTGCTGCGTGCCGTGCGCGCCCAGACCGCCATCGTCGCCAAGCTCGGCACGCGCATCGCCAGCCTCGAGACGCGCGTGCTGCCGCCCTCCGCACTGCCCGCCGCCGCCCTCGCCACCGCCCTTGCCGCCTCTGCCGGTGGCGCGGGTGGTGCAGGAGGAGTGGGGGGGGCGGAGGCGTCGGTGCTGGTGGCGGCGGTGACGGAGACGCAGACGGGCATGGCGGTGGTGGTGCGCGAGGTGCAGCGGCAGAGCGAGGCGGTGGCGGAGCTGCAGGGCATGCTGGATGCGAGCCGGGGCACGGACATGCTGCAGCTGGCGCACAAGACGCACGAGGCGCTGCACGACCTCGTGCTCGCCGTGCGGCAGCAGGGCAAGCTGCTCGTCTCCCTGGACGCCCGCCTCGCCCACATTGAGGGCCACGTGGGGGGCGAGGGGCGCGGTGGCGCGGGGCCGGCGGATGGCGACGTGGCGCGGCTGGAGAGGGCGGTGGCCGCCGAGGCGGAGGGCGGAGCGGACGTGCTGCAGGCGGCTGAGGAGGTGATCGGCGGCATGGCGGGCGCGCAGGCGCAGGGCGGGGAGCAACCGCAGGAGGGGCAGGGCGAGCAACAGGGGGGGCAGGGGGAGCAGCAGGAGGGGCAGAGGGAGCAGCAGGAGGGGCAGGGGGAGCAGCAGGAGGGGCAGGGGGAGCAGCAGGAGGGGCAGGGGGAGCAGCAGGAGGGGCAGGGGGAGCAGCAGGAGGGGCAGGGGGAGCAGCAGGAGGGGCAGGGGGAGCAGCAGGAGGGGCAGGGGGGGCAGCAGGAGCAGCAAGAGCAGGGGCAGCATGAAGGGCAGCAATCGAATAATGGAGATTTGGCAGGTGAGGTTGTGCTGGTTGGTGCTCCTCACACCAGTTAGAACGTGGTGCCAACTTAAGGCGGGTGTGTTGTGGTGAACGAGGGTACGTCCCTGTAGGTGCCGGGAAGAGTGCCTGCCGCCACGCCTCTGCTGACGGCAACAAATTTAGGCCATGCTGGGCCACGGCCACCCCATGAAGGGCCTGGGTGCCTGTAGCGCAGCGAGCCTCAGGCTGGGCAGGTGTGGGAGTGGGCTGTCACTAGTTGTTGCTTGCTCATGGGTAAGTGCAACACCCTGTGGCACTTACGCGTGGTGGCGGTGAGAGGTGAGGTCCAGCCTTGCCACGGGCGTCGTGTGCTGCTGCACCACCACGTGCCATGCTGCACCACCACGTGCCATGCTGCACCACCACGTGCCATGCTGCTCCACCACGTGCCATGCTGCTCCACCACGTGCCATGCTGCACCACCACGTGCCATGCTGCTCCACCACGTGCCATGCTGCTCCACCACGTGCCATGCTGCACCACCACGTGCCATGCTGCTCCACCACGTGCCATGCTGCACCACCACGTGCCATGCTGCACCACCACGTGCCATGCTGCACCACCACGTGCCATGCTGCACCACCACGTGCCATGCTGCACCACCACGTGCCATGCTGCACCACCACGTGCCATGCTGCTCCACCACGTGCCATGCTGCACCACCACGTGCCATGCTGCACCACCACGTGCCATGCTGCACCACCACGTGCCATGCTGCACCACCACGTGCCATGCTGCACCACCACGTGCCATGCTGCACCACCACGTGCCATGCTGCACCACCACGTGCCATGCTGCACCACCACGTGCCATGCTGCACCACCACGTGCCATGCTGCACCACCACGTGCCATGCTGCACCACCACGTGCCATGCTGCTCCACCACGTGCCATGCTGCACCACCACGTGCCATGCTGCACCACCACGTGCCATGCTGCACCACCACGTGCCATGCTGCACCACCACGTGCCATGCTGCCCACCACGTGCCATGCTGCTCCACCACGTGCCATGCTGCTCCACCACGTGCCATGCTGCACCACCACGTGCCATGCTGCTCCACCACGTGCCATGCTGCTCCACCACGTGCCATGCTGCACCACCACGTGCCATGCTGCACCACCACGTGCCATGCTGCACCACCACGTGCCATGCTGCACCACCACGTGCCATGCTGCACCACCACGTGCCATGCTGCACCACCACGTGCCATGCTGCACCACCACGTGCCATGCTGCACCACCACGTGCCATGCTGCACCACCACGTGCCATGCTGCTCCACCACGTGCCATGCTGCACCACCACGTGCCATGCTGCACCACCACGTGCCATGCTGCACCACCACGTGCCATGCTGCACCACCACGTGCCATGCTGCTCCACCACGTGCCATGCTGCTCCACCACGTGCCATGCTGCACCACCACGTGCCATGCTGCTCCACCACGTGCCATGCTGCTCCACCACGTGCCATGCTGCACCACCACGTGCCATGCTGCACCACCACGTGCCATGCTGCACCACCACGTGCCATGCTGCACCACCACGTGCCATGCTGCACCACCACGTGCCATGCTGCTCCACCACGTGCCATGCTGCTCCACCACGTGCCATGCTGCACCACCACGTGCCATGCTGCTCCACCACGTGCCATGCTGCACCACCACGTGCCATGCTGCACCACCACGTGCCATGCTGCACCACCACGTGCCATGCTGCACCACCACGTGCCATGCTGCACCACCACGTGCCATGCTGCACCACCACGTGCCATGCTGCTCCACCACGTGCCATGCTGCACCACCACGTGCCATGCTGCACCACCACGTGCCATGCTGCTCCACCACGTGCCATGCTGCACCACCACGTGCCATGCTGCTCCACCACGTGCCATGCTGCACCACCACGTGCCATGCTGCACCACCACGTGCCATGCTGCACCACCACGTGCCATGCTGCTCCACCACGTGCCATGCTGCTCCACCACGTGCCATGCTGCTCCACCACGTGCCATGCTGCACCACCACGTGCCATGCTGCTCCACCACGTGCCATGCTGCTCCACCACGTGCCATGCTGCTCCACCACGTGCCATGCTGCTCCACCACGTGCCATGCTGCTCCACCACGTGCCATGCTGCTCCACCACGTGCCATGCTGCACCACCACGTGCCATGCTGCACCACCACGTGCCATGCTGCACCACCACGTGCCATGCTGCTCCACCACGTGCCATGCTGCTCCACCACGTGCCATGCTGCACCACCACGTGCCATGCTGCTCCACCACGTGCCATGCTGCACCACCACGTGCCATGCTGCACCACCACGTGCCATGCTGCACCACCACGTGCCATGCTGCACCACCATGTGCCATGCTGCACCACCACGTGCCATGCTGCTCCACCACGTGCCATGCTGCTCCACCACGTGCCATGCTGCTCCACCACGTGCCATGCTGCTCCACCACGTGCCATGCTGCTCCACCACGTGCCATGCTGCTCCACCACGTGCCATGCTGCTCCACCACGTGCCATGCTGCTCCACCACGTGCTGCCGTGCACGGCCGCCATCACCTACTCGCTCTCCGCCAACCCCGGGCACAACCAGGAGATGCTCGTCACCGCGTCCTTTGACGCCCCTGTGCCCAACACCGGGGGGCACCTCACAGTCGCCATCGACCATCAGCCCTTTGTGCTGTACAGGTACATCAGCCCTTTGTGCTGTACAGGTACATCAGCCCTTTGTGCTGTACAGGTACATCAGCCCTTTGTGCTGTACAGGTACATCAGCCCTTTGTGCTGTACAGGTACATCAGCCCTTTGTGCTGTACAGGTACATCAGCCCTTTGTGCTGTACAGGTACATCAGCCATTTGTGCTGTACAGGTACATCAGCCCTTTGTGCTGTACAGGTACGGTGCAGGTAGACAAGACATTTCAGACTCACCAGGCTGACTTGCGATGAGAAACAGTCGATCTGAGTTGCTTACTCGACCGAACTGGTTCAGTTATAGTCGAACCGAAATGAAGAGTGTGAAGGTTTGGGTTTGGAGATGCATTGGGTGGAAGTTCAAACGCGTCCAGCAGCCAACTGCAGGGTGCTTCAACTCGGACCCAACTGGATGACAGCTTCCGTTGTGTTGTGGCCACATCCTTTGAATGCACCTGCCTTGACCACACAGTGACGACGCGTTCAATGTGCTGCCATGCTCTCAATTGTGTGCTGCCATGCTCTCAATTGTGTGCTGCCATGCTCTCAATTGTGTGCTGCCATGCTCTCAAATGTGTGCTGCCATGCTCTCAATTGTGTGCTGCCATGCTCTCAATTGTGTGCTGCCGTGCTCTCAAATGTGTGCTGCCATGCTCTCAATTGTGTGCTGCCATGCTCTCAATTGTGTGCTGCCGTGCTCTCAATTGTGTGCTGCCATGCTCTCAATTGTGTGCTGCCATGCTCTCAATTGTGTGCTGCCATGCTCTCAAATGTGTGCTGCCATGCTCTCAATTGTGTGCTGCCATGCTCTCAATTGTGTGCTGCCATGCTCTCAATTGTGTGCTGCCATGCTCTCAAATGTGTGCTGCCATGCTCTCAAATGTGTGCTGCCATGCTCTCAAATGTGTGCTGCCATGCTCTCAAATGTGTGCTGCCATGCTCTCAATTGTGTGCTGCCATGCTCTCAATTGGTGCTGCCATGCTCTCAATTGTGTGCTGCCATGCTCTCAATTGGTGCTGCTATGCTCTCAAATGTGTGCTGCCATGCTCTCAATTGTGTGCTGCCATGCTCTCAATTGTGTGCTGCCATGCTCTCAAATGTGTGCTGCCATGCTCTCAATTGTGTGCTGCCATGCTCTCAAATGTGTGCTGCTATGCTCTCAAATGTGTGCTGCCATGCTCTCAATTGTGTGCTGCCATGCTCTCAAATGTGTGCTGCCATGCTCTCAAATGTGTGCTGCCATGCTCTCAATTGTGTGCTGCCATGCTCTCAAATGTGTGCTGCCATGCTCTCAAATGTGTGCTGCCATGCTCTCAATTGTGTGCTGCCATGCTCTCAAATGTGTGCTGCCATGCTCTCAATTGTGTGCTGCCATGCTCTCAAATGTGTGCTGCCATGCTCTCAAGTGTGTGCTGCTCCATCAAGCCTTCACTTCTTTAATGCGGTTGCAAGTTGCAACGGCATGCGTACTTACGTGCGGCAACCATGCGTAACACATGTGTGTGCCAATGCGGGCATGCAAGGCTGTGATGGTTCGCTTGTCACCTTGCATATCCCCTTAGCTCTCTCCCCTCGTCCATGCGCTCCTCTGCCCCCCCCTTTCGCTCGCCCCCATCAGGGAGCGCCCCAGTGAGCACGAGGCGCTGGACCCGCCCACCACTGACCTGCCCGTGGAGGTGCTCGTGTGCGCGCTGCCGCCCGACCCCGCCCACCCCGTGCCGCTGCACTCCCTGCACGAGTTCCTCGAGTTCTACCGCCTCTCCGGGGCGGCACGGGTTGTCCTGTATGACAACGGGGCGTGGCAGGAGGGCGGCATGGCGGAGCAGGTGGCGGGGCAGGTGGAGCGAGGCGAGGTGGTGGTGGTGCCGTTCCATGGCAGCCGCGACCACCAGCTGCACCGCCAGGGCAAGGTGAGCGCTGCACGCCAGGGCAAGGTGAGAGCTGCACCGCCAGGGCAAGGTGAGAGCTGCACCGCCAGGGCAAGGTGAGCGGTGCACGCGCGCATCCCGCCACGAGGTGAACTCACATCTGCCTCCCTTGTTCCACTCCACTGCCTTGTCTTGTCAATCCCGGCAACCCTCCCATCTGAGTGTTCCTCCTCCGCTACCCGCTGTGTGCAACCGGGCATGGCAGGGGTTGGCGGCGCAGGACTGTGCATGGGGGGCGGGGTACACGGCACGCTGGGTGGTGCCCGCGGAGCTCAACGAGTTCCTCTTCACCGGCTCTCAGCCCGCCGCCCTGCCCACCTTCCTGCGCGCACACGGGGCGGCAGCGGTGGTGACGGTGGGGTCGCTGTGGTGGTCCAGCGCCAAGTGCTCACTGGACTTTGGAGCGGGCGAGCAGGGCGGGGGCAAGTTCTGGGTGGAGCGCATGGTGTACCGCTGGCCGTGGCCCGTCTGCCACGACACCTCCGCCTTCCCCGACGCCAACCTCTGCCTCGGCGAGACCGGCTACCGCAAACCCATCGTCGACCCCCGCAAGGTCAGCCACACTCAGCGCCCTCCCTTGTGATTGCCGCCCACCCACATGATTGCCGCCCACCGATGTGGTGGGCGGCACGGCGCATGCACATGGGGGACGGTGGGATGGCATAGTGGGCCAGGGATGAAGGGAGGTGGGCGCATGGGAGCCGTGACGACTGGAGTGCACTGCACACTCGCCTTGTCCATCAACTGCCATCCCCGTTCACTCTTACATGCCAGCACATGCAGCGCACATGCCAGCACATGCCAGCACATGCCAGCACATATAGAGTGGCGGCCCTCCATCGCCCACCATCGCCCTCGTGCACCACCACTGGGCACACCCCTCGTGCACCACCACTGGGCACACCCCTCACCTGCAAAGCGTACGCCTCACCATCTCATGTCTGTGCCAATCCCGGTGCGCCAGGTGGAGGCGCTGGGGGCGTTTGAGGCGCGGGCGGGGGGGGGCGAGGGCGGGGAGGTGGACGTGCGCACGGAGGAGGCGGTGTACAACCACGTGCAGGACCTCTTCTCCGCGCCCTCCTCCTCCTGGTGCCACGAGCTCTTCAATGACGACCAGGTGCGCCCTCCAACCGAATAAGGTGCTGCAAGGAGGGTACGCACGAGGGACAGCTGCTAGGGTGGGTGGGTGAAGAATGGTTGCCTTTTTTATACCTCCATCCGCCTCACCGCCCTTCCAGTGGCCCCCTCCACCATCTAGCCCACACTGCTATCCTGACCCAAGAATCATGCCCCCGGCCATACCATGCCCCCCCCTGCGTGGTGGTGGTGGTGGCAGGGCCCCGAGTGGTGGGTGCGGGACACCTTCCTGCGCGACCACGCCCACTCGCTCAGAGCAGGCCGCGTCTGTGACTTCGATAAAGGCCAGGTACGTGTGTGAAAGGTGGGGGGTGGGGTCTGCTGCTCTCACTGCCGCTGTTGCACCCCAATCACTGTTCCCATGCCCTCTTCCCTCTCATGTGCCACCGGACATGTATGCCGTTTCCCATCCTTGTCATCCCTCTCATCTCCCATCCATCTCATCTCCCATCCCTCTCATCTCCCATCCTTCTCATCTCCCATCCCTCTCATCTCCCATCCTTCTCATCTCCCATCCCTGTCTTTTCCCATCCTTGGCTCCCACCTTTGCCCTGCGCTCTCTCTTTAGCCAGCATTCATTCTCCCACCTTTCTTTACTCAATCTGTCACCTGTCACCACCCATCGCTTCTCCTATCCACGCTTTTCCAGTGCGAGCTGCTGTCGCAACAATGAACCATCAGGTCTGGAGATTGAGGCTCGCAACAAGATACGCAGGGTCTTCTTCTGGCACATCAACCCATGAGTTGCTGCAACACCATGCACTCGCCTCGTGCGGTACAATGTTATTTGTGACCATCAAACTCTGGTTGTCCCCTCTTTTGGGTTGGCAATAGACTTTGAACCTACAGAATCAATATTGGAAATATGGATTCCACTTTTGCCTGTTGTATAATTAGATGATGTTCAAGTTGAGGTTTGGACAATTCTCTAAGTCCGTGGTGACTTTGACAGACTATAGGGTAATTACCTTCTGGGTAACCAACATCGAAGCCGCTGACGTCAAAAGTCACCTACGTGGCTCGATGGTACCCGTCAGATCATGCGCGCCCCTTCGTGGTACCCATCTTCCCTCCGTGGTACCCATCTTCCCTGCGTGGTACCCATCAACTGTGCGCGAATTCCCTGACTGGTACCGCAACATTTAAACTGAGCTGTACACTGTACAACAAGGGTTTCAATGCGTTTTTCAGTACAACAAGGGTTTCAATGCGTATTATAACAACGTTTACACACTCTAATTGAACATTAATACCCTTGAACATAAATGTTTGAACGTGCCTTACACTGGACAGAGTGCAACATAGAAAGAAATCAACTCCTCTTCTAAAATCCTCACATTAACTCCAAACCTTCGTAAGCTCACGCTACTGAACGATAGGTAGAGTGAATCTTGCGACCATGTTTCGCAGCGCTCAGTCGGTTATTTGAACAAACTTTATAAGGTTGTATGCAAATAAATTGAGCATGCACCCCCAAAGCTAAACATAAAATCATAAACAAATAATACGTACATTCGTTGGTTTTTGGAAACAAAACAATACCCATAATGAAAATTAAATGTACCTTAAGTCAATATATACTTAACGTGTAAGTTGATTGTTTGCTATACGGATGTTTTTTTTCGGTTGATGCAATATATCAGTTTTACGTTATCTTATAGCACGTTATATTGTCGATGTTTCTTAGCCTAAACAAATCTACACAATGAATGTTTTTTATTTAAGAATCCAGCTTTTCTTCTACACTCTATTATAGGTAATGCGTGTGATAAATTGACTCGATTAGGTGGCACTTCGGGCTTCTGACTCTATTGAGCTTGTAAACGTTAAGACAATATACTGAAAAACGCATTGAAACCCTTGGTGTACGGTGTACAGCTCGGTTGAAATGTTGCGGTACCAGTCAGGGAATTCGCACACAGTTGATGGGTACCACGCAGGGAAGATGGGTACCACGGAGGGAAGATGGGTACCACGAAGGGGCGCGCATGATCTGACGGGTACCATCGAGCCACGTAGGTGACTTTTGACGTCAGCGGGCTCGATGTGAGTTACCCAGAAGGTAATTACCCCAGACTATACGAAGATTGAGAAACATCGACACGGATGTACTGAAGCGCGGATCTCGTGCACTTTCTAGCTAGTTTCTCGGACCAATTACAAGCAGTAAACGCACTGCGGCGCCTCCACCATTGGCTTCTCTTTCTCGAATTGACCACGTGGCACCAATTGCCCACTTTCAGCGCCGCCCAGCGAGTTTCCCACTTCGTCCAGTGTGCCTCGACACGCTGGCAATGGGAACTCCAGCTCTGTCTGGTACGGCCATGTCAGCAACGATACGCCCCTTGTTTTTCCGGACCAGAGCGACGCCGGGAATGTCGTCTTTCTGTTCAGTGCCTGTTTGCTCCCCAGATTCTCTCTCAACCTTGCTTGCCAGCTGCATAACCTGCACTGCGCAGCCCACATAGAGACGGATATCTGATCGCCGCGCACTCTTCGCCTCTCAACGCCTCTCCTCCGTCTGCGATGTCCCTCGCAATCTCTCACGCCGCCGGGGCCTCCCCTTGCTCCTCCGCATTCTCTGCCGCGCGCGCCCGGCCCGCAGCGCCACTCTCCTCCGCGCACCAACTCACGCCGCGCCTTGCCGTTCTCCGCGTGGGCCCCCCATTCACGGCATCCCCCTCGCGCGCCTCCCCCCAGATGTCCGCCTCCAACCCGCCCTCCGCAGCCGGCGCGGGAGCGGCAGCGCCGGCGGAAGGGAAGGAGCAGAAGCTGTGGGGCGGGCGGTTCGAGGAGGCGGTGACGCCGGCCGTGGAGCGGTTCGGGCAGTCAGTGTCGTACGACCAGAAGCTGTACCGCTTCGACATCCAGGGCAGCAAGGCGCACGCCGCCATGCTCGCGCAGCAGGTGAGCCCGCCCCGCAGGTGTTGCACGTGTCGTAAGAGATGGCATTGAGCGATTGCGAGCCACCCGCTGAATGATCTAATGTTATGTGCGATTTTACAAGAACGGCGTAACATGGTAACGACGCTGCCGCTCTCACCCGTTACCCTCCTCCACCATCACCGCCTCCTCCACCATCACCGCCTGCTCCACCATCACCGCCTGCTCCACCATCACCGCCTGCTCCACCATCACCGCCTCCTCCTCTCGCTGCCACCCCTTTGCCGCCTCCTCGCGCTGCGCTCCTCCTGCACCACCTGCTCGGCGCCACATTCTGCCCTCAGCTTACCCGTTCCCTTCCGCCTCCCTTGCCGTCCGCGCATCCCTCGTTCCGCCCACCGTCATTCCGCCACCTGAGTCACGTGCTGTGTCGCTCAACTCTCTCTCTCCAACCCGCTTCCCCCTTCGCTCTTCGCACACCTTTCACCCCGCGCCCCGCCCCGCCCTGCCGCAGGGGCTGATGACGGTGGCGGAGCGTGACGCGATCGTGGGCGGGCTGGAGGAGATCGAGCGGCGCATCGAGGCGGGCACGTTCGAGTGGCGCGCGGACCGCGAGGACGTGCACATGAACATCGAGGCGGCGCTCACAGACCTCGTGGGCGAGCCGGCCAAGAAGCTGCACACGGCGCGCAGCCGCAACGACCAGGTCTGCACGGACGTGCGCCTGTGGTGCCGCGACGCCATCGCGCAGCTGCTCGACCGCATCGCGCGCCTGCAGGCGGCGCTGGTGCGGCTGGCGGACGGCAACGCGGGGCTGGTGGTGCCCGGCTACACCCACCTGCAGCGCGCGCAGCCGCTGCTCCTCGCGCACGTGCTGCTCGCGTACGTCGAAATGGTGCGTCGCGCAACTTTGTGGTGAGTGAGCACGGAGGTGGTGAGCGGCGGAACGGATTCAAGTGTGGCACTCACCCTGGATGGGCGCTGCACGAGGCCTGCCATGCACCACTGCATCGCCTCATGCTCCCTCCTCAACCGCTCCCCTTCCTCTCCCTCTGCTCTCCCGCCTCTGTGATCTTCTTTCCATGGCGCTTGGGTGCTCGCGCAGCTGGAGAGGGACGCGGGGCGTCTGAGGGACTGCGGGGAGCGCCTCAACTTTTCGCCGCTGGGGAGCTGCGCGCTCGCGGGCACGGGGCTGCCCATCGACCGCCACCTCACCGCCTCCGCGCTCGGCTTCTCCGCGCCCCTCCGCAACAGGTGCGCCCCTCCGAAACAGGTGCGCCCCTCCGCAACAGGTGCGCCCCTCCGCAACAGGTGCGCCCCTCCGCAACAGGTGCGCCCCTCCGCAACAGGTGCGCCCCTCCGAAACAGGTGCGCCCCTCCGCAAAGGTGCGCCTCTCCGCAACAGGTGCGCCCCTCCGAAACAGGTGCGCCCCTCCGCAAAGGTGCGCCCCTCCGCAACAGGTGCGCCCCTCCGCAACAGGTGCGCCTCTGGTGGGACAGGGACAGATAGGGGTAGGTGGGAGCGTGGTAGGGACAGGGGGTGGGGGGGTTCGGAAGGGGAAGGGTGGAAGGGTGGAAGGGAGGAGGGCAGGGGCCAAGGGGAGCAACAGCAGAGGTAGGACGCGGCGCAAGGAGGGGTGGCGTGAATGGCAGCAGAGACGCGTGCACGCAGTTGGCAGGTGTGTGCTGCGGACACCACAGCGTGTAGAGCATGCACTGCAGTGCGGTGACGTGTGCGTACCACCCCTTTGAGCAGTGTTGTGTGTGGTGCTTCTTGCACGCACCATGTCTCAGCCAGCTGCCACTGTGAGTGTCTCAGCCAGCCGCCACTGTGAGTGTCTCATCACCTCTCCCTCATCCCCGCCTCTCCGCCCGTCCCCCCTGCATGGCATGGCGTGGCATGGGGCGCGGCGGGCAGTGTGGACGCGGTGTCGGACCGCGACTTCCTGATCGAGCTGCTGGCGGCCAACAGCATCATCGCCGTGCACCTGTCGCGCCTGGCGGAGGAGTGGGTGCTGTGGGCGTCGGAGGAGTTTGGGTTCGTGACGCCGTCGGACCGAGTGTCGACGGGCAGCAGCATCATGCCGCAGAAGAAGAACCCCGACCCCATGGAGCTCGTGCGCGGCAAGGCGGCGCGCGTCATCGGCGACCTCACCACCGTGCTGGTGCTGTGCAAGGGGCTGCCGCTGGCGTACAACCGCGACCTGCAGGAGGACAAGGAGCCTCTCTTCGATAGTGTCGAGACCGTGCTCGCCTCGCTCGAGGTGACCGCCGAGTTCGCTGCCAACGTGACGTTCAACCGCCCGCGCATCGAGCAGTCACTCCCTGCCGGCCACCTGGACGCCACCACGCTGGCGGACTACCTCGTGTACAAGGTGGGTGACTACCTCGTGTACAAGGTGGGTGACTACCTCGTGTACAAGGTGGGTGACTACCTCGTGTACAAGGTGGGTGACTACCTCGTGTACAAGGTGGGTGACTACCTCGTGTACAAGGTGGGTGACTACCTCGTGTACAAGGTGGGTGACTACCTCGTGTACAAGGTGGGTGACTACCTCGTGTACAAGGTGGGTGAATACCTCGTGTACAAGGTGGGTGACTACCTCGTGTACAAGGTGGGTGCTGCCCGGCTAGCCAGTGCTGCGCTGCATGTGACATGTCCGTGCAATGCTCTCGTGCTTTATCCACCTCCTGCCCATCCGTCACGCTCATGGCATACACCTTCATTCTGTCCACCAGTGGAACCACACACTTCCTCAACCTGCACTGCTCGTTTTCCTTCTCCATTCCCACCACCCCCCCTCCTCCATCCCCTTCGTACGAATGGGCCAACTGCACGGGTCGGCAGGGCATGCCGTTC